TATTATAAGAGTTTAAATAAAACTAAATCGTCAAAACCGGAAAAGGAAATGAGCGGATACACACAAAAAAAAGGTCACATGACCAGTGGTTGTCCGGGTAACGCATTTGAAGCAGCCGCGTTGGACCAATCAGACGCCGGCAGTAATCTGGGCTCAGCCAATCAGACGCCAGAGAGCGAGGATTTAAACCAGGACCGTGAAAGTCGAAAGGAAACAGCCTCAGTCCTCAGAACGAGAATCCATCTTTGGTTGAACTGACGCAGCTCGTGAAATGGCTCTCCGTGTTACCAGAGTGAGTTTTCTACATGTTGCTTCTCCTCTTTGTCGTTTCCTCCTCAACTTTAACAGAATCATTCAGAACAAACGTGCTCTCATTGTTTTACATGCTCGTGGGTTTCTCTCCTCGTGTCTCGCTGGACTTTGCTCCTCGGTGATGTTAACTTGAATTAAATGCTCGAACCTGTGAATTCACACGGAGCTCCGCGCTCTCCCGGTGTTTCTCTGCAGAATCGTTTGGCCTCCACCAGGACCGACCTCCCCGGGAAGTCGTGCTCGGTGACCGGGCCCACGCTCAAGCCTCGGGCGGCTCTCGGAGAAATCGGGAACGTCGCAGTGAAGGAGGTGCAGAGGAAGGTAAAGGAGGTTTTAAAGTTTTACAAGTTGAATAATATCTCGTGTGTGATCAGACTGAAGCAGCTGCGGTGCTTGTGTTGCAGAGCCTCGACTGAAATCCTCAGTGCATCAACGCAAATGCACTGAAACTGAATATATCTGTAAACAAACACACAAACACATATTCTATCTATTTCATTTAAAAGTGCTTTTCAAGCTGTTGCATGCTGGGAGTCAGGTAGTATATGTTTGAGGCCAGCAGCTGCTTTCACTGAACACCTAAAATGGTGGAACAAAAGGGCTCTGAGTAAGCAAACAGTGCCCCCACCTTGTTTTTTTTAAATGCGTGCACTTTTATTTCAGCGTGTAACATGGATTCAATTCTTATGTGCACTTTTTCATACAACAGAAAACTTTAGAAAGTTGTATTTTTACATTTCATTTTTGTTTTCTGGGTGAATGTAATATACAACCAGTCAATCTCCCTCAAGGCTCAAGACTTCCTGTAAAATCAATAGTCCACTTCACTTTACTGTGCACAGAAGTTTTCATAATGTTTGTCTTCTGAATGAAATCCTGTTGTGTGTAATTTGCTGTGGCAGAGGTTTGCTGCCACATTTCTGCTTTGACTATCCCACTCTACATTTTCAGAACATCAAGACCGAAGCAGCAAAGAAGACTAAAGTGACCAAAGTTGAGAAAACCGTAGCAGTGGTGGAACCACCAAAAGCACCAAAGAATGTTGTTCCTGTTAAACCTGAGCCCGAGGTGCAGGTGGGTGCCCACAGAAACTTTCTTATTAAGACCCAAATGGCCGCTGGGTGTGGTGTGATCTCTGAACTCTGTTTCCACCGTGCAGGTTCTCCCTGAACCAGTATCCCCCACTCCAATGGAGACTTCTGGCTGTGAGCCTCGTGACCTCTGCCAGGCTTTTTCAGACGTCATGCTGGAAACTGCAGTCAGGGACGTGGACGCAGACGACTACGACAACCCAATGCTCTGCAGCGAATATGTGAAGGACATTTACAAGTACCTGCGGCAGCTTGAGGCACGACACGTTCAGTTCTCAGAACAAGTTTCACGTTGAATCTGCAGCTTTGTTTTTAACCCAGAGTCTTGTCTCCTCAGGTTGAGCAGAACGTCAGACTCCATTACCTGCAGGGCCACGAGGTCACCGGTAACATGCGAGCCATTCTCATCGACTGGCTGGTGCAGGTCAGCCTGAAGTTCCGTCTGCTGCAGGAAACCATGTACATGACTGTGGGAATCATTGATCGCTTTCTTCAGGTGAGGAGTAAATCAAACTGCTGCGCTCACTGTAGCAGGTGACGTCTGCTTCTTTTACTAAATGTGTGTTCACGTCTCCAACAGGACCACCCAGTCCCCAAGAAGCAGCTGCAGCTGGTCGGTGTCACCGCCATGTTCCTCGCTTCCAAATACGAGGAGATGTATCCCCCGGAGATCTCAGACTTTGCCTACGTGACGGACCGGGCCTACACCACTGCCCAGATCAGAGACATGGAGATGACCATCCTGCGGCAGCTCAAGTTCCAGCTCGGCCGCCCTCTGCCCCTGCAGTTCCTCAGGAGGGCCTCAAAGATTTATGAGGTATCTGCATCTCGGTCCAAAAGAAACATAATCTAACAGATTGGGAGTTTTTTTTTCTTGTAACCACTAACGTGTCTGTCTTCCCTCAGGTGACTGCTGAGCAGCACACCCTGGCTAAGTACCTCCTGGAGCTCACCATGGTGGACTATGAGATGGCTCACTTCCCACCTTCCCTGTTGGCCAGTGCTGCCTTCGCTCTCACCCTCCAGATCCTGGATGCTGGTGAATGGGTGAGTGTCGTTATGACCAGAAAGGAAACAGTACAAACTGAAATCTTTGTACTTCAGTGACATTTCTAAATGACTCCACAAAATCATGGACCAGTTTGTCTTCAGAGTCTAAACATGACGTTAATGCTGAGTCTCTCCTCAGGATGTGACGCTGCAGCACTACATGGACTACACAGCAGAGAGTTTGATTCCTGTGATGGCGCACATTGCCAAGAACGTTGTGAAGGTGAACGACAGCCTGACAAAGCACATGGTGAGTGACTCCTCCAGCCAGGTGTGAACTAGTTACTGGAATCTGAATGCCCATGACTTTTCTGTTTCTGACCCTCGCTCTGGTTTTTTTTTTTTTTTCCCTTCAGGCCATCAAGAGCAAATACTCCACTTCAAAGCAGATGAGGATCGCCACCATCTCGCAGCTCAAGTCTTCTGTGGTGAAGGATTTCGCTAAGCGGCTCACACAGTGAGAAGACAGTTTCTGGCACCATGTGTCGATTTGTACATTTGTAACTTAAATGTTTTTAACGTGTCTGACGGATCGGCACGCAGAGAACCATGTCGGTGGTTTGCATGACTAACAATCGGATCTCGCGTTATCTCTTGCCGACTTTTCCAAAGCATGCCACACGTTTTTTGAGTTCATGGTTTCAATCTGAAATCTACACCTCATGAGATTCAGTCAACCAGTGACCACTGTAATGCTACAACTCACTATTTTCACCATGTCTGTTCAAAACATGGCTCATAATGCACTACTCCGTTGGCTGAACTCTTAATGTTGCCGTAAACGTCATTTGCTGTTGCATCTGAAACGTGTCACATGCTTTCAGAATGGTCGGCCATGGAAAGGTCCAATGGGCAGTAGTGGCCCTTTCTGATCTTTTTATTTTTAATGGTATATTCTTAATGTGTGACAGTATGTAAAATGTACAGCAATACTTTTAAATGATTTTACCTAAATGACTTTTTCTTAAAAGCATCTATTAAATGGTTCTGACCAGACTCTTGTTGCCTTGTCATGTGTACTGTTCACCACTAGAGGCTGCTGCAACACCAGAGCTGCTGGCCGTTGATTTCCAACATGTAAACTTAACCTTGCAAAGTTTAGGTGAAACTATGTGGGGCGTCTTGCATAACTTCTGTCCTGTTAACTCTTGTGTATTTTATTAAAACAAACTATTTAATAACACGGCAAAAGCAGTTTTTATTCCTTGTTAAACTTTTTAAAGTCTTACAGGGTTTTGGATTTTAAAGTCTCAAAGGTCCTCAGGTCTTAATGTGCTTCATTGGGTCTTTTCTGTCACATGTTTTAGTGACTTGCATATTTTGTAGTCTCTTCCTGCAGCAAGCAAATATTAAAACTACAGCAATACTCAGTTCATGCTGTAGAAGCATGTCTCATGGTGAGATGTATTGTATCAAAGATTATTTCCCCCATAGCCATTTGACCTAAAGTAAAGTTGGACTCTCTCCCTTTGTCATATTTTACTAGTCTTAAATAGAACTTGCTCAAACCTGCAGATGGTTGAGGTGACACATGTTGTCCACCAGAGGGAACTGTCGACTTAACTTTGAAATTCACCAGCACAGAGCTTAAACCGTATATCTGAATTTATTTTGTATCCACAATGCTGCCAGAGCAATGCATGATGGTATATTTTGCTTTGTTATATGTAATAATATATATCACATTGCCAGGGGGCAGCGCTGACAAGTGAAACTGTGGAAGCATCACATCACAAACTGCAGCAAACCAGTTTATTTCTGCATTAAAAGATCATTGAACAATCTTTACCCAAAACTATTAGTCTAAATAAAACACTAACAATTTACTTCATAATCCTGCAACATGGTTATGGCACAGAGACAAATGACCCAAGTGAGTGATTTGGTGCTTTCACACACTACCATGCTTTCTTTTCTTTCTCTTTTTTTTTATAGCTTAGTTTAGCTCTACATATATTTGTCTGTCTATGTTCTAGTGTCTATTCTTGATTCACTTTAACGATTGACAGAGGAAACTATAAACAATTGTGCAGGTTCGGTTCTATTCAAGTCCACAATAACAGATTCCCAGACGTAGAGAAGCTGAATGGAATTCGTCCTCGTTAGTTTAAGGGTTTTGTTCTTTTGATTTCTTTCCAGGTCAGTTTAAATTCCAGCTAAGTTGACTACATCCGGACAAACTGGGATAATGCGTCGCCCACCACTTCCATTGAGCTGCGGTCTTTCATACTTGTTAGGACACATGGAGATCTCATGTAAGCTGCAGGCTCCTCGCAGCTTCAATTACATCACATCAAGCCACAAGTATTTAAAGCTAATGGACAAAGCAGAGAGGGAGCTATTATCACTTTAACCCCTTCACAGCTGAGACCCCTGGGGGGGACGCAGACCCCCTCTATCACATCCTCACGCCCCCGGGGGGACGACCCAGAGAGCTTTGCTGTACACGACCATCTGCCATCTGCATGACGTGAGTCACTGTGTACATCACCGGGGTCGTAAGGCCTGTATAACACTTTGTTCATACGGGACCACAGATCATCTGCTGCTGAGAGGGACAAAAACTGAGGCATGATGGGAGTTTATTGAGAGAATTCATGCAGAGATCAGTGGTGCATCACTGTCTGAGGCAGAAACGCAGCCAAACGATGCTCTGATAGTTTCAGAACTTATATAATGCACAACTCAACCCTGGCATGTGATTGTGAGCTGTGCATCTGTCGGCCGACTCTGGGCCGTGAGGCCGACACCTTAAGAGCACATCCCTTCCATCCATCAAGCTCTCCCTCTGTTGTTTTCCACAGAGACACACGATGATGATGATCAGTGTGAGTTATCGTGGAGAGCCGGGCTTTTAAACGCACTGATCGCACTCAGAGTTCATACTTGAAGGCTGAGGTCATGACTGGGCAGCCGTGTCGGTTTACAGGAGAGATTCCTCCTGTGTGGGGCTCCAGACCGAGCACTCGCAGCTGCCTGGAACACAGTCTGGCCTTTTCTGACAGCGTTTCAGCTGCGTGACATTTATTATGATGGAAAATTGAACATAGTGGTGGAGGAGCTCAAGGAAACACTGAAGCTCCGCATCCTATGATGCTTAAAGGGTGAATTCACCCAGATTGATAAATAAGTTGATGTGGAGACGTGAATAGATTTGGGGATTCTGGCAAGGTGACAGAACTGCATCTGAAAAAGTTGCTTCCGTGCAAAAACAAAGGAATTGAATGAAAGTTAAGTTTGAGGTTGTCAGGCTATTAAATTTAAAACCTCGAATGGAACTCAGTCGAGCAAATACCACATTTAAATTCTCTGGATCCAGATTTTTTCATGAATCGCCAACAAATTGCACCGACTCACAAATTTCTGTCCTCTAAACATTTCTGATTGTTTTCATCCACGAGCGATTCTCTGAGAAATCAACGTAAATGTGGAAAATGTTAAATAAGGTGAAAGAAGATCCCTCGCCCGCCCCCTGATCTGGATCAAAACTTGATGTTCTTCCCTGACGCGCAACCGCATCCTTCCACCGAGTCTCGGTGGAAAAGCGTCCAGTGGTCTTTGCAGGACTCGTCTAAATAACAGACAATCGACAATCTGTCGTCCTCTGTGGAGTTAATTAACACGCCGATGTGTCGTAACACCAGAAACTGTGAATACAAAGAGCTGTGGTGCTTGTCATTTTTCCTGCTTTTCATATTTGACACGTCTGCCTGGAAAAACGTTTCCCCTGCGATGAGAATAACAGACACGGTGATCAGAGCTGATAGAGACTCTGCTGGAATCCACTCTGGCTTCTGAACATCGACAGACAAAAGACCCACTGCTGCAGAACCGGGCCTAACCTGACCTCATTTGACTGAATGTTACTCACACACGTGGGCATTTAGTCCAGCGTCCTGTCGGAGCTGCAAAACATGGACGATATGACGGCGCCCAAAAAGTGAAGCCAAAACACGTCAATGGCGCAAGATCGCAGAATTCCTATCCATCATATTTCAGCTTCATTTCTGGAAAGTGGAAGGAAGTGGAGCTGCGTCGTCCATTTTTATTTACAGAATATGATATATGATCCTAACCCCGGGTTCAAAAGCTTTAAGAACATACAACACTTCATGTTTTCAATCTTGTAACTGATCTGCACGCTCACTGGGAGTGATCTGTTTAGATAAATGAGGTTTGAGGATCATTCACAATAACTGGAAGTGTATCAGCTTCATCAGAGGCAGAAATCTCAAAAACAAAACCGTCTGCATGGTTAGAATCAGTCGGCTGAACCGAGCGCTTACATGAGAGCAACGGACCACGATACGAACTCCATGTTGCCCATTCTTGCACATTTCAGTGTCCTTAAAGCCCAAAAGCTTCTGTCCTCTTCCATGTTTATCCAAGCTCTCTCCCCATTAAGTGAATTTGCGAGTCAGCACTGAGGTCCAGAAAGAATGCAAAGCTTGGCCCCAGACCGCTCGCTATTCCAGCAACACAGATCTCACCCGCAGGCGGATCATCCAAGACCAGAGTCTGAAGTTTGGAACTCCGTCTCCAGTCTAAACATCGTCCGAGATGGACAGAGATTTAACAAGTGCACCCTTCAAAATGAGCGAGCGCCCATTCTCGCCTCCCGTCCACCGAGTCTGCACGTCTCAATTCAATAATGGCAAAGTCAAACAAACAGCAGGTCCGTGGCGGCACTGTTAGGGTTTCTGTGGGGTGCTAATAGGTTGGCAGCTGGCAGCAGAGCCAGGCCTCTGGGTTTGAGAGCGGAGTCGAGTACAAATAAACACACGGGCATTCATTTTCACAATTTATGGATTTTTAAATTAAAAAATCATGTGTTTCCTGAACGTCACCGACCTTTGACGCTCAGTGTCACACGGAGGAAATAAAAGCCGCCATTGTGGCGCGAACAGTGGAGCGTTTGAACCAGGTGTGAATGGGACGTTCCTCCGGACGCCTCGACCTCACCGTGCACGGTTTGAGTGGCGAACAGGAAGTCATCCTCTGCTCCTGACAGAGACACTGCGTTGTGAGGACACTCTGGAGGAGGACATTTTTACATTTCAGAACATATGGGAAACACGTCTTAAAACAAAGCTCCTTCTTCTCGTGAAGCAACGCACTGCGAGGCCTCGTATGTTTCCTGAACGTTTGCTGTCGAGCCGCTCATCTTGAGCTTTCAGACATATCACAAGGTCTTTTCCTACAGAGTGAATAAACTGTCTGAGGTCTGTAAACTCTTCCCGTCCAAACACTGACCCTCAGAGTTTATTCTTCATCCTGGAAACAGCAGCTGATAAAACACTATCACATGGGGCTCCATGTAGCAGCTTTCTAAATCATCACATGGTCTTCATCAGCATCAGAGTTCTTCATTTAAATGTCTGAGAACGACTCAGCCTTTGTTACAGATTTTGTTGACTTGTGTTCTCACATTGTCCAAAACCTCAAACGACGTATGATGAAGGAAAAACAAACTTTTTATTCTTTTTTTGTTTTTTTTGCGTAGCACAAATAAAACTTTAAAATAATCCGTGAACATGATTTGCTCCTGAGTTGTGTCGGGTAGATTTTCCTGCAAACGGAGGAGGCAACGACTCCCATGATCCCACGCTGCTTCACGACATCATCAAACAAGGTCTTGATGCACTGACGAGAGATAATTTACATGTTTCAGCGCCTGATGAGGATCATGTGATGACCTGTGACCTAATCTCAAAAGTTGTCTGATAAAATAAATCATTTATTTGTCATAGAACAAAGTTAAAGAAAGTGAAAACCAGATTCTTCTCTGTGAATTGGAAGTTTTTGTGTAATCCTAAGAAACACGGGTGAAAACTCTGCCAATGTTCTGATCAACTAATCTAATTGAACAAGTTACAAACAGAAGCTTTGATGACACAAACACAGACGTTCAGTCAAGTAATGCAAAATGAAGCCACTGCAGAAATCCCAAATGTTATTACATGCGTGTTTTTGGCAGGATCTGTAGTTTTGTGGAT